GCCCCGTACAGCTGACCCGGGATGGATATTTTCAGGGAACGGTTTCGGTTGATTTAGGAATTCAGCTAGCCTTTGAGACTCGTTGGCTTGCGCCGAGGGCTGCCCTTATTTCTCTCTGGCCGTGACCCACCCCCGACAGCCCTGGCGGAATGAAGCGACACCCACACGCGTGCAACCTTCGGATCCTTCGTCCATCCTGTGGAAACTGTGCCAGTGGCTCACAATGTTCTTTTTCAAACACCGATGCGTGGACGTAACAATATATTTATCAAATCTTTTGGGGGGGAGGGAATTTCAAACGGAATTTGACACGCGATACAGTGATAATGTTTAATTGCACACGTTCTTCTGGAATTTTTTAACAATTTTAACAATGCATTCATTTTTTGGAATTTTTGGAACCAATGGCCGCTGGCAACTGGATTGCGGACCGTAACGAGTGACCAAACTGTACGCAATAACTCGTCGCTTTCTTTTTTTTTTTTTTTTTTTTTTTTTTTTGAACTCGTCGGTATAATATCACTGGATAGAAATTATTGAGAAGTAACAGATTTATTATTTGTTTTGCCTGGGTTATATTTAAAAACACAGAAATATACTTAAAACTGAGGGAATATTGCAATTTTTGGGACAAAGAGTTCTCGACGTGCGCAAGAGGTTATAATACATAGTGTGATTAGTATCCTGTGATATATATGTATATCTTTTTAATACTAGAAATTTGAAGTATTTTTAATTTATTTAAAATACTCATTTCATTTATTTATTTAATTTTTAATATTTTTTAAATTTAAAGCATTTTCTAGATTATTTCAAATTTAGACAAATATTCGTGATCTGTTTTTTCTTTTTTTTTTTCAATTATATGAGCGTGTAGTGTGATTAACTTGTAGATATTCATGAGACTTCGTTTCTGTAAATTCATTTTCTTCATTTCAAAGCCCGAACCGATACATATTGTGTGCAGACAGCACCGAAACCATCGCCCCTTGAAGTTCACAAGAATTCCCCGAGGGAGGGAAGAGGGAGAGAGAGAAAAAAGGTCAAAGGGAAGATCATCTTCTCGTTGTAGTACGGCGTTCGCGAATTTGTGAATTAATGAAAAGACGAAAGACTGGCGGCGGCGGAGGTGGCTGGTGGGTAAGCTCCATTGAAAAACGGATCACGGGCCACAGGTTGTGCATCACTGATCCGCGGCATTCACCGTGTTTCCCGGCGAGATCCCTACCTATATACCTGGTGTTGTGAACTGGCCCTGGGTGATGTCTAGCGGGCGTTTGTCTGTGTGTAGTTCCAGGCGTGTAGGTGTACGAGCGCATGCGTCAGTGTGTATTTATTCAGGGTGTAACAGGTGGATGACGTCACGGGCCAGGGTGGCAGAGAGCACCCCTTTCCACCAAACTGGTAAAAGGGTGCCTCCCTCCGTCGACCTCTCGTTCCACGACTTAGGACTTGGTTCCTATTTATACAGTTCGCAGGGACAGGCACAGGCCCTGCAGTTCAGTATACACGCCTTCTTACGTTTTATCCGTGGCATTTTTATGCCCGTGACATTTAATATTCTTGACGTTGTTGTGTGCCAGTTAGACCTTGACGGAGGGGTGTGAGTTTCTGAATTCTGGAGTAAGAGAGATATTCAGTTCTTAATTAATAGTAAATTAATAATTGTCAATAATTCACAGTCACGTGTTACCGCTGGGACCGTAAGAATTTCAAATTGAAATATTTAATTCTAGAATTCTTAATTTAGTTCTATATGATTAATTATTATGCGTGATATAGTATTAGTAACTTCTGGTACTATAATCCAAATTGAGATGTTAATTTTATTTTGTGTTTCACATTGCATTCACGATCATAGAGTGAGATCAAATTAAAAGTTGTAAAAACGACTGACTCTGACAGTCTCTAATGAGCCACGCTGGATAGTTAATGAAACGTTAAACGCGACGTGTTTAAATTCGCGTTTTCGTTTGTTTTCGGTAGCCATCGGTCGAAAACACGACGCTGTGTTTCATCGTGGTAAATCAGAGAATCCTTCCTGGAAGTCGATTCTTTGCTTAACCCTGAAGGTTGAGCTGGCTTCCTCAAAAATAATCAATTTCACTGGGCGCCGACGTCTACTTTGAGCTCATTAAAAGCAAACCGTGAAGCTTCACCTCGATGATCAGATTGTTTCAACCCGAGGGAAACTGCCAATGCGTGCCGATATATTTAAACTTACGGTATATTTGTAATAAAAACAAAAAATTTCGCAAGTCCAAGAGAAGTGTAAAAGAATCATCATCATCATCATCATCTGGGATCATAATTTGCTGTTGGCTTTTGACAGAAATTTCGCGATCCTAGTTAGAGTATATTCTAAAATTGTTAATTTTATTCTAAGAAAAAGCATCCCATCGAAAATTCTCTGCCAAGAGTATAAAAGAAGAATTGCGGAGTTCGAGTTGATCGTCATTCACCGTTCGTCAATTCAATTTGTAATTAGTCCGATCGATTAGCCGTAGGAAAACGGGCGATTCGCTTCGTTTTTTTTTTTTTTCTTTTTCATTCTCCTCGTCTCAATGGCGCGTCCAATCGGATTCCAAGAACAACGCATCAAGTTCGATTACGCTGAAACGAGCGTAGCAAAAATTGTAGCCAATTAAGAGAAGAGAATCCTCCTGTCTCGTTATCGATTTTCGAGGGCTCCGATTTTCCGACTCGGCGAGCTCCGCCCGTGCCTCCGCTCGATTATTCTGTTTTTCCGGATTATCGTGCGGCAGGAGGGGGATAACTGAGCCACTTGAACCGAGGCTCGATCTCACGAACACACGGCCAAGTTCGCGATAAAAATGAGAATAACAAAAGGCGGGAGGTGGTGGTCAAAGGTCAGGTCGGTGACTAAGAATCGTTGGAAGATAACTCGGCGGAAAACGAGAAGCATTCGGAGGTCGAATTTTTCTCAAGATCCCAAGAGATTCTCTTACTTCTCGAAATTATTCCAGCGTTCGAGGAGTGAAGAATTATTTTTTGGAGTAAAAACAATTGTCGTCGTGACATTTTAGATTGTAGTGTCGTTTCAAAAGTGACGACATTTCTTGGCTCTTTCTGAAATCATCCTAGCGTCCAGAAGTGTTATTTTAAGAAATAGCAAAATTACTTTAATTAATTGTTTTAATCCTTAGATCTTGGTCTCTAAGGTCAGTGCCAAGAGATTATTTTTCGTCAGATTTGTCTTTTTTTAATTAAAATCCACTGGAAAACAACTCGAGGTCGAGTAGATTGAAATTCTAACTGCAGAGACATCTATTTTCTTGGATCGCAAAGGTCAGGATCTGCATCAAATGGATTTCGTAGGCGTTCGCTTTTCAGAAAATCTCCCGTACATTCTACTCGGCGAAACGCACTGTCACACGAGTGGTCTCTCGTGTTTTCGCTTGCGAAGAACGTTTCTGTCTTTTCTCGAAAGAAGCGAGCAATAAATATTCGAGAAACTTCCGAATTAATTACGTCTCCGCGGAACGGAGATTGCTGCTCCCGCGAGAGACATTAAAAACTCGTTATGTCATTAGATTTCGATACGTTGTTGGGAAAACTACAGCACTATCTGTCGTGCATGTACTTCTCAACTTGGAGCTTGTAAATAATGAATCATCTCAAAATCTCAAAATTGTCTCATAGATATTCTGATTTGAAAGGAGAGAAAGATATCGAAAGTTGTTTAATTCGATATTCAATGTAAATTTGTGAAAACCACGATTCTTTGTTGATAGAATGTTTGGGAGGAAGGGGGGATTGAAAATGTAGATAAGACCATGTTCTGCATGGATAATTGTTAAAACGAAGAGAGAAACGAACTGATAACTAACAAAATTCTAGAGACGAGTGAAAAGCATAGAACAAAATTCGTTCCATCTGAATTTTTGTTTTCGAGAACGCGTATTTCAAAAACTTGTCAATCTCAGTTTTCCCAAGAGGGTTGAAACGAGCCGAAGAGAAAAAAAAGTTGAACTTGAAACAAACTCTTGATGAAACTCTAGAGGCGAGTCAGAAATATAAATATATATATAATAAAATTCGTCGATCTGAGTCTTTACCTTTGCGAGAGCTCACACGTATTTCGAAAACCTGACAGCCTCCATTTTTCCAAGAACAGGAAACCTTCCCCCCTCCCCCCCCCTCTCCCTCGCCGAGTAAAAAAGCCTTGTCCCTGTCACGCTTGAATTCGTCTTCCCGAGGCTGGAAATCACACGCGTTACGAGAAATTACATAGTATATCGCAAGTATTCTGCCCTGTAGGAAAAGTAAACGCCGAGAGCGGCCACAGTGTAAACCGAGAGAGGGATACACGTCGCGTGGGGGAGGGAAAATGGAAATGCATAGTAGGTGGAAAACGTCGGGGCCGCGCGTAGCGCAGCGTTCGGAATGCGTTTGCGCAGCGCAGGTACGGGGCACCCTACGGTGCAGGGTACCCGCGACAGTGAAAGTAGCGAGAAGTCGAGCGCTGATTGGCGGACGTTCGGCCGAGGTACGTCGGAGCCTGGCAGACACCCTCGTGCCTGCACGGTCAGCTCGTACGCCTTCAGTTACTGGCGGATCGTAGACGCGACAACATTGTTCGGTGTCGCGTACGCGCGTGCGTTAACACGCAGCCTGTTATCCGCACGTATTCTCCTTAGACTTAATCACCTCGACGCGGGATCACACACACGATCAAACAGAGAGAGAGTGTGAGAGAGAGAGAGAAACAACGCGTCTTCAAAAGAGAGAAATACGTTTCGGTGCACCGTGCGTACGTGTGGTTAATGTGTGCAGATCCGATCGGTTCGTGTTGCAGATAGCCGAGGACTGGCAAATTGAAATTCATGTGCACGCGTGTGTATGTTTGTTGCGTGTGTTGCCCCGGAGTGTGACGTAATGCTGCAGCCGTAGTGTTTTGTTTGTGCGTGGCCGCGGCTCTCGTACGTTTGTCCGGCGATGCACACGTGCGCATCGGGAGGACGATGATTGCGCGGCACGGAGCAGCCGTGTGAAGGCCCGCGAACACGTCGCCAGTTCTCTTCATCTGCTCCGGAACGACCGATGCCGAGGCCGTATCCTCCGCGTGCCGAAGAGAAAACGAGAAAGTAGAAAGAGAAAAGGACACGGCGAGAAACTCGGTCGCCGCCGATAAGAGCGAGCAGGACGATCGACCGGGAGGAAAACGAGAAGAAAGAGAAAGAAAGAGCAAAAGAGAGAGAGAGAGAGAGAGAGGAGAGTCGGCCGCGGCATATCAGCGTGACGGAAAAGTGGAGCGAACAAGAAAGAGACTCGCTCGAACGAACGTGTACACGTTCCTCTGGTGACCTCGATACAACGCGACTGTGTACACTCATCTGGCTGTGTGTCGGTGTCTCGTTGTCGATCGTTTGCGCGCAGCCTCAGACAAACGAGAAATTTCGCCAGTGAAAATCATGCATTTCTACCACGGCTACTCGGCTGGTTGACGTTCACCAAAGTAAACTTGGTCCGCGGTGTGTCTGGCGAGGTACATACACACACACACACACGCACACGCACACAACACAGACACACACAGGGAGAGAGATAGCTAGCTGGCTGGCTGGCTGGCTAGCTGGCTGGCTGACTGACTCTGTGCGTCCTCTCTTTCTCTCTCTCCCTCCCGCCCCTTCGTCCAACTCCCCCACTCACGCGCCTGCTGCGTTCCCTTTTGCGCGATCGTGACCCCGTTTCTTCGATGACCGACACTCCGCGGCTGCTTGGCCGCCATTAGAGGAGCCGAGAGCAGGGGAGAGAGAAAGAGAAACGAGAGCAACCGAGGCGAAACGAAGACGATCGTGGTAGGTCTGCCGTCTACTTCTCCGTACACACAGGCAGGCAGCCAGGCGGGCATACACGCAGGCTCGCTTGGTACAGACCCATTCTATATACGTTCAGTGGCACTGCCGCGTAGAGAGAGGAAGAGAGGGGCACGAGGAAAAGCAAGGCGGCCAAGCGAGACGGACGATGCGTGAGAGCTGTCGGGGACCATGGACTCTTGACAGTGAATCGATTCGCTCGCGCTGCCCTGACCTCGTATTCCTTGCTGCCGCAATTTCGGTCGACGAACGAATTATCGAGGTCAACGACTAGCGTGCCTAGCCTCGGTACCTCTTGTAAACAGTGTGGTGTGTGTGTGTGCCCACCGCGAGACGCGCGCGAAGGAAAAACTACGCTACTTTCCTCCATTCCAGTGAAGAGACACGAATCGTCGTTAGGCCCGTTAGGGGCCCATTACATTACGTTAGGAGTGTCGGTGTTTGCGAGGAGAAACGTGAAAGGTGGCCGGGATTATTTCTTCAGCGGAAGTGACGAGGAAAATTGAGACGGTGGAGCCGAAGGAACAGCAAACGGTGGTGGTACAGAAGGTGGAGCAGGCTGGCGAGATGCTGCAGGCTGTACCGCGTGTGCCTGTCGCCGGCGTCAGGCGACGATGGGGCAACAGGCACACCGGAAGTCTGCAGGAGTCGAGCCCGGAAGTGTCGAGCAGCGGTGTGCTGTCACCGTCGCCAAGTTTCCAACCCTCCACGCCGGAGAGCGCAGCTGTGAAGAACGAGGAGCTTCAGCTGTGGGATCTGGACCTTCATCGGGGTCTGCAGGCCAACGGTGATCATTATCGGGCCACCATCACCGCCACCACGACCACCACAGTGCTGCCAACAATCGTCACCGATCCTGCCTCACCGTTCACCACCCCCGTCGAAGGTTTGTGCCCGACACGTACTTTTCTTATCTGTCGCGTTACGTAAGCGCACACCGAGTACCAGTTGCACGCCGTTTACCGCGTGCCAGGACCGTTCCAGGTGGCGCCAGAGGAGAGTTTCTTCTTCAAGAGGGAGAGAGTCACGCGTGCTTTCTGGCTCGGGATTTGATTCGTTTCTTAAGCGCAGCGGGGGTTTTACAAACTTGGTAATTTTTTCACGAAACCACCAATGTTTGCGAGTATTGTTATTTTATCATATTATATCGGAACAATTTTGAAAAGTTAAAGCGGTAAGCGCTTTTCCAAACGGTTACCGTTCTTTTTAATAGCGATGGGAAGCTACTTTGTTTTGTCGAGCCCCCGAAAATATTCATTTGCCCCGTCTTCTAGTTGACAAACTACTAATTAGTTGAAATTATTCCTGCGTGCAAAACTGGAGAAAGAAAGAGAAAGAGGAGGAGGAAGGAAAAAGTTGGGAAATCTCTGTCAAAAGCTTTGACTTTAACTTTCTTCGAACTTTTCTCTCCGCCTTGCAAATGATTGTGTATTATAATTAACTATTCTCACATTGTCTCAATTTAAAAAGAACTTTTTTTTTCAAATGTAACATTCAGAAAATATAATAATTATTCTATTATCTTTATGTTCGCATAATATATTGAATTTGCACATGTCACTGTGTTTAAAAAAAAAAAAAAAAAAGAACAGAATTTGGTAATTCGAATTAACTTGGAAAAATTTTCAATTTCTGCTTCATTTTGGACCAATGAACCAAGCTGGTTTTTACGTGTATAATTATTGAATATTTACAAAGAGAGATGTTTCATAAAAGAGACTTGCATATTTTACCGAGAAAATTATTTAGAAGACAAAAAGTATATTTCTGGATTGGTGTACTATCCAAGGTGTTAGCCCTTAATGAACAATGTCGATCCTCCCTAATGGAGTAAAATATGATCGAATTTAAAAATTGAAATGCATTTCACACGGGGATAAAAAATTCCTCGAGAGAGCTGAAAAGATTTCTTGATCCTTCGAAAGTGGAGAGAAGCCAATAAACGACCTTAAGGTAATCGACCCACGCGTAGCAAATCCATTTCGTTAGAAAGCGAGTGTTTTTTCTTTCTTCTTCGAAATACCAGGCGCGTACCTATCTTTTTTTTTTTTTTTTTTTTTTTCTTCTCTGTGAAATCGGGTCGAGGCCGACCGAGCCGGACCAACAGTGAGAATCGACGACCTCATAGGACCCCGTTCGGTTCGTCATCGATTGCGACACGTTGCACCATACCTGGTGCCCATTGCGCAATTTCACTATTTTTCACGCGCTTGTTTTATGCCAGTTTCTCTCCTGCTCGTGATTTTTATTTATCGTTTGCCGTTGCCCCGTAGCGTTTTCAATCTACTCGGTGGCTTTATCGTTTTTTTTTTTCCTGTTTCGACGCGTTATCAACTCGCGTTCCGCGACTTGTTGCAACCGGTGGCCTCGATGCGAATCTCCTGGGACTTTCTGCAGTCAGCTTCTCTTTCGACGATTCAGTTCTCTCGGTTGGGGTTCCCAGTCGACGATTGTTTTTTTTTTTTTTTTTTATTGTTATTAATTTTCGGGAACTAACTTCAATTTCACCAATTGATTTGAATTTCATTTTGCATTGCGTTTAGCATGTGGAAAGCAGTAGTGTGTTAGAAAAGAATTGTCACAGAGTATTTCTTCGATGAAAAGAAACATTTTTTAATGAAACTTCACGTGGTTACGTAAGAACATAGTGTATGACCGAATGTTAATCACTGCTTAGTGACTGAAACCAGCGAAATAAAGTAAAGAAATCGAGCGAATTTTGTAACTGGAGAAGAATCTTGTTAACAATGTACACATGCAACGCTGTTCCTCGATAATTGAGAAGTGTACTCCCCGGATAATGGCCTATCCTTGAGCGAGGGAACGTGCCACGGTGAAGGTTCCTCTTGTTCGCTCCGTGCACGCATGAAATCAGATCCGCACGAAACATGCAATTACGGCGTAGCGAGTTATTCCCGGGTTGTTTAATTGTCGACCCCCGTGACCTCGTTATTTAATTACCGCGGATCATTGCATTTGAGGCATGACGTGCACAGTGACGTCTGTGTTATTCGAAACTATCTTTATTGCGTGATCCTCCGTCGTAAAGCTCTTTATGGCGGACCAGACATCTTTCCATCGGAACAATTCCAATTGAGCTTGTCTTGCTGTTGTTAAACTTCGATTGATTTAGAATGTTAATTATATACTTGCCTCCTTGAATTTCTTACAACGCGAATCCTACGAGAAATATCGTGAAGAAACGATGTGATGATTCTTCAACTACACATCAAAGTATATATATATATATATATATATATACGTGTGTTAATTCTCAACGTTGACTATTCACACATTGTTTTTTTCACAAATTTCACAGTTTGCGAATTTTGTTTCAATAAGCGCAACATACACTCTTCGAGTACAACGACGTCGGCAAATTCTGTTCAAAGAAATGTCATTGAAACAAGTTGGAGTTCTATTTGAAAAACGAAAATTCTTCGAAAATTAGGAATTTGGAGAAATATCCTCCGCCGACGAAGAAAGTTCGATCGGTGTTCCTCTATCTTTCCTCCACCCCTCCTCGTTGTTTCACACGGCCGCGTTATTTTCATCCTTGCACTCTCTCCACGAGTTTATTGCATCGTGTGACGTCTGTCCAACACAGGTACGTACATCGGCTTTAAATAACACGATGCGTCACGTATATGTCGGTGCGATGTACGCGGTGAACCATTGTGTTTTCGTTTGCAGCCGCGGTACCGATGACCCGGAAACTAGGTCACGGTCCCCCGGCCTTTTTTCCTCTCCCCGCCAATGATTCACTGCTTTGTAGACAGGTTGCTCTCCTCTTATCTCCGCGATGTATTTTTCTTCTTTTATATCACGCACACGCCTCTCTGCGGGACGCTTTTATCAAACGCGTGCGCCTCGTTCTATCTTTGGATATTCTAGGGAATTTTTACCTACGATCGATTACAGTTCGCGGTTGTCAAAGATGTAATCTTTATTCGGTGATATTACTGGAAAATTTGCCAGTGAATGTTCTTCTTTTATTTCTTCTTTAACAAAGAACTTCTATTGTGCTCTTTGATTAGAGAAAGCGTCTTCGACTCTGGAAATGGAGGATGGTTTTTCCATTGGGATTATTCTAATGGGAAATTTCCCTTGAGAGACTTGAGGAAGGCCGTGATTTGAATCCTGGATTACTGATTTACCAGTAGTTCTGACATTGTCCCCACTTAAAAAATTATCCCCGTGGAAAAAAATCGTGAATTATAAACCACTCTGGCATGATCTTGAGGATATCGACCAGCGCGCAGAGGTGTCCAGGTATCGTCCTCTGTCCCCTGGTTTAATCGACGATAATCGAGATGAGAGCGTTTCTACCCTTTGGTTTCTCCCTAGCGTAAACGTTCTTCGAATGCAATCGGAGTGCACGTGGCGGATCGTTTCACGACGGTGTAATTGAGATGGCAATAGTCAGGGGGCGAAGTGGACGTGGTGATGGGTCGTTCTTCTCGAAATGGGTCATCGAATTCCAAGGGAAACGATCGGTTAAATACCAAATATCGCCACGCGGGGCACCGAAGCTCCTCGAACGTGGTAGATACGCGCCAGTATTCGTAATTATTCGTCTGCGACCGACACACTTGTAGTTTCGGCGATCGGGCACCGTTAGACGCGTATCCGCGTAGAAATTCTGGCCGGACACCGGCCGAAAAGAAACTACTCGAAAAACTTGTTCCTGACCGCCTCGTAAAATTTCACACCGTTCGTAAACTCTCGCAACAAGAAACTCGATGGAGGTGTAGCCCGAGAGAATTTTTTTTTCTTCTTTTATTTCGCTTTTCTTTTCTACTTGAGCGACTTTGTCACTTTTCCAGAGGGGGGTGTGTGGGCAGTGATCGATGGAAATTGAAAATTCGAAGTTTGAAAAATGTTAAAGATCGGAGAAGGATTTTCAAAGGAGAAATTTGGAAGATTTTAGGCTCAATGTTGGAGGTGTTGTGTTTGCGCGTGGTGGAGAATGATTGTTCAATGAAAAGTTTGTAATACGCCTTTAATTAAAATATCGACATAACATTAAAGAGAAAAATAATCTATATTTTACTGTAACGCAAAATAATAATCTTTGAATTGCCTTTGGTTTGGTTTTATTTTTTTTATTTTTTTTTTTTTATTTTTACCGAATCGCATGCTTCGCACAACTGATCAGAAAACAATTGTTACCAACACTCAAGAATGAAGGAAATCTAAATTTCGAGAATTGAGAGTTAACAATCCAGATTTGAAAAGTTGGAGACTTCGAATGATTTAGATTCGCGTAATACTTTGCAAGTGATGACGAAAGTTACGGAGAATATTAGGTAGGCACGTGAAAGGACGAGGCCAGCCGCCTTTACGAATTTTTCGCACGTATCCACCACGCGGAGGCCTCATTAATTTCTGAAGCTTTGCTCGGTCAATTCGCACGTCTGCCACACTCGAGGGGAATGAACCGTGACAATATATATATATATCTCGGAAATATCGTCGAAACATTCCTTGGTAAACCTTGATCGATTAACCTTCCGCCTTTTCGTCAGATTTCACCTTCCCCCTTCGTTCGTTAATTTTTGCAACAAAAGAAAAAAAAAAAAACATTTAAGGCCGGTAAAAATAATTTTTATACCGACCAATCACATCGCCAAACTTTCAATTTCCTTGTCTGTTGAATTTTAATTGAAGTTTCATTGTCTTGCGAGCAAATAAATTTTTTTAATTAAGTTTTCTTGTTCCTTCCAGCTCGTTCAAATTAATCTTTTAAATTTTTAATGTATTTCGTGGATAAATTTCCTGCGGTTTGAGTTTTCGTGTACTCTTGGATTTAATTACGTTATTATAGTGTCTTGAATTAAATTTTCGTGCCTTTCGGGGTTTTATTAAATCGCCACGAGTCTCTCA